CGGGCAGTGTTTCGTTCTGCTGTGCATGGGGTCGCTATGAGTCGGAAACGACTCGACGGCACTTAACAACAACAACAACAACAACAGTACATTTAATTGTCCTTGGAAATATTTAGTGAACTGCTTTAAGATGAGTTAATATTTTAACAATAGTTTCTTTTTATCCATAGTTTTGTGTACATGTTCTGAATTGGTTATTTTTGATGCGTTTACATTTTCATTTTTATAATTTTTACAGATTTATGATGGAAAAGATAAAACAACTCATCTGCTGGGGGCTTTTACTGGTGCATCAATGAGGGGACTGACACTCAGTAGTACTTCCAATCAGCTCTGGCTGGAATTTAATTCCGATGCTGAGGGGACAGATGAAGGCTTTCAACTTGTCTACACCAGTAAGTATTTCGGGAATAAAATGGTCAAGCACTCCTGCTCACGTTTATTTAATAATTTCAATGCACCCTAGGTGAAGTAATGTCCAACATTTGGTTAACAATTTGCAGTTTAGAATTCCTGTCTACATATATAATTGTATTTGGCCCCAGCAACAACCCTACAACTTACAGGTATTCTAACTGTTGTCATTTTGGAGTTGAAATTAAGTTTCAGAGAAGTTAAATAATTTGTTAGTTGGGGCTTAGATTTTTTAAATACCATAATTCTCTCCATATACTATTTTAATAGTTGTAAACAGATGTAAGGTTCTTTAATTGATAGAAATCCAATATTTAAGTTTCTATAAGTAATTGCAAAATACAAAATATCTGTAGAGTTATTATTGTTGGTCAGTCACTAATGATCATTAAGTTGTTCAGTTGATTTTACATTAAAAAGTAGGTAAAGCTTTTCATTCATTTTGCCTTTTGTTGAACTGCCTTATTAAAATGAATTTGTGCAGATTTATTAAACTAAAGTCAGCAACATACAGATAGAAACCCAAAGACTATGTGCTACAGATACATGGATTTCATCAATTGTTATATAAATTAAATTAATTTATTTTACCAGTTGCATAAAATTAGAAACAAACTAGTTACACCAATTGACAATAAAATTATTCAAATAATATAATTATTAAGTTTCTACCCTGTGTAAAATACTGGACTATAAAAGTAAAACAAATGAAACTGAGGTGTATATTGGCTGTGTATTTAAAAATTTACAATCTATTGAAGCAAATTGATAAATGGAACGTCAGAATATGCACTTAATATAATAAAATACCTTAAATAGCAATATTCAGAAATATCTACTGCTAGAAAATTTGAGAAAATCTATTGACCCCTATAAACTTTCTCCAGAAGTCAGTTGGATAAAAATTATTGTGAAAACTCAGGAATTAAAAGGGTTGCAGCATTGAATATAATTATATAGGATCCTAAGGAGAATATGACTCAAATTATACTGTGTGAAAATATTCTTTCTTAATGCTGTTAGTAAAAGGAGACAAGGGAATATAATGACTCATTATACTAAAATATCCTTGTTCAAATAATGAGAGATTACCCTTGCTACCTGTTTATTTCAAGGTTTGTTTCTTCTACTTGTGCTAGAATTGTTGCATTATTAACATTAACTAAATTTAAATCAACAAAATGAATGCTGAATAAAGATCTTTAAATCCTCAGAATGATTATGAGCAAGGTGATTTATTCTGAAGTCCTCCTAAAGACAAATGAAAATCTAAGCAAATAATGTTTTTAGGTATTCCTGTAATGGGCTAAAATTAATGGCCCTGAGGACTATTAATCAGATCCAATTGGTGTGATCTGGTCAGATCATTTTAGATTCTGATTCTTCTTTCTTTTCAAGTTTTCTAACAGGGATACCATAGTTAGGCCATTTGTAAAACTATATCGTAATGAATGACTCAGTGTTTCATCATAACCTGTAACCATTTTGTTGTTAAAATAATTTAGTATTTTTCTCATCTAAAATATTTATGCCTTTTTCAAGGGAAGCACAGTTTTCCTCAGCTGATGCATATAATCTATGTAATTTAGGTTATTGATTTAAGAATACTTGGCATCAAAAGCCATACTTGAATTCAATTCTGTATGGCGTGCCCAGGGGTCTGGAATGAGTAAAATCATTGACTTTATTGTTGTTGGTGTGAGTTAAAGGATGTCAAAATGGGGGGCGGGGAATATCTGAAGTGATTTTCTTAATAATTCTATTTGTTCATTATGGGCTGTCAGTTATAATAATGGAAAAATATAGAATTATGAAGAGACTATAAAAACTATCATTTTATAAAGGGAAAATATTTATCTATAAGTATTTTTCAGTCTTGGAACTCTAAAATGTTTCAGTCTCATATCTTGAACTGAAATGAGTATAGCCTATTTCCAAGCTGTCTCAATATCTAAACAACAACAACAAAAATAACCCACTGCCATCAATTAGATTCTGACTTATAGAGACCCCCATTGGGTTTCCAAGGCTGTAAATCTTTACAGAAGTAGACTGCCCCATCTTTTTTCCATGAAGCAGCTGGTGAGTTTGAATCATTGACCTTATGGTTAGCATACAAATGCCTTAACCACTATGCCACCAGAGTGCCTTGTCTCAATATCTACAGGTCAGTAAATGCTTCTAAATTTTTTGTGAAGTAACAGCTGTGTTCTGAGCCCTACTACATGGGAGAGCCCTGGAAGTAATAACACATCTATTCTTAATTGTATTTGTTCTTTATTGTTACTTCTGATTTTTGTGATGAAAAACCCATACATGTCTCTGCAGTTATCATAAGAGTGGTTAGCTAGGGATTTTTTTTTTTTCTTTGAAATAAATCCATTCCCAAGTATAATCCTAGATGTAAAGCAAACTGTGCCCAGGCTATGTTCACTTTTAGGCATGCCCTCTCCAACATAGGCACAGATTGAACTAGTTCAAGATCCATTTCAAATATTTGGCATAGTGCCTAAGGCATTTGACTGCTAACCAGAAGGCTGGTGATTCAAACTCACTAGCCACTCCTTGGAAGGAAAGTTGGGCAATCTATTTCCATAGTGATACTGCCTAGGTAACCCAAGGAGGGTCGCTATGAGTCAGAATCGACTCGACGGTAGTGAGTAATGCTTGCCATGATTCCCTGAGCCAATTAAATGCCATTTTTAGTATTCCTTTTGCAATATTTTATATGTACAAATAATATAATTGTTATCACATAGTATTGTGGTTGTAATTGTTTGCAGACAGATTGTACTTAGTTTATAAAGACTTCATAATGTCTTTAGTCAGCTTGAGTTTAATTGCTTTTCTTTTTCTTTTTTGCATATTTTTGGTAAATTAACATGATTTGAATACTGATTTTATAAAATACTTTTGTGGTATAAGAAGATTCTTCCAGGACATTATTTTAGATATTCATAAAATTCTTAGAGGCAGTAATTAATCAATTTATGGATATGAGAGAATGTGGTTAAGGTGTTCAAACATGAAGAAAAGTGGAAAAGACAATGTTTTTGTGTTTGAACCCTGTATTCAATCATTCCTAAGGTCAACTCCACCTCTTCTCATTCTATGGTATGTTCCTTCTTACAATTATTCTGTCTGTCCTTCTGAAACATTTCACTGCAGAAGCCTTGAGTGATGCTGAGGAGAGATCAGTAATAACATTGAGAAAATTAGGGACAAAAGAGAGATATTTTAGCTTGTGGAGGAGTCAAGTAAGTTTTCAGGAACGAGATGGTAGTGAAGGTAGAGTTGGGCCTTAGAGAAACATGAGGAGTATTCTAGGTAAAGAGAATAGAAGAAACAAAGATTTTTAGCGAGAACAAAGCACATTCAGGGAAAATACAGCAAATAATCTGATTCAAATTAATCCCACATGACTGACTTCTTCTCAGTACTCGTCTCAGCACAAACAGGTCTTTTTCTGCCTACCCTATTAATGACATCCATTTAGCTGATGATAGTCAATCTCTTCCCATTATCAATTTTGCTGACTTAATTACATTCACTGTTGTCTGAGTATTTCCACTTTTTGGTAGATTGGATTGCATTTGGCTGAGGTAAAAGTGAAGAAATATGTTAGCATAGGCCTATAAGGTGCATTTTATCTCAACTGTCTTATTGGTCCATTTGTTATATAATCACTAAGGCTTGTAAATGGAATGGTAGAAGCCGTACCTAAAATGTTACTTTTGACTTCAGGTAATGGAAAAGTATGGCTTAAAAAGTCATGTTTCATTTTTCTTTCTTACAAGAAGTCCAGAGAGTGAGGCAGATCAAGCTTTGATTCAGCTGCTTAACAAAGACGACAAGGATCTTGTCATTATCTTTCCACCATGGCATCTCTAGAATGCTCAGTTTTTGGGCTCATGCTTGTTGTGACATTATCGCAAAATGGCTACAGCAACCCTGAGCATGTTCAAGGCAAGGAGAAGCGAGGAGTGGTTAGAGCCAAACGTTGGCCATTTTATCAGGAATTCAAAATCTTCCCCTTGGCCTACATCAGATATCCCCTCTATCTCTTTGTCCAAAACTGTGTCATATGGATATGCCCTAATTTTTCAGAAAGGCAAACTGGGAAATTAAGAGTTTGCAGAATTAATTGATTGGCTTAGTCTTAGGCTATCATGACATATTGTTTAATATGGTCACCTTACAGTTGAGAACCACATCATGGTTTTGTTAATAAGAAAAGGGAAGAACAGATATTGAGAAGACAATACAATATCTGCTACAATGTGCAGCTGTCACAGATATCCTGCAAAAGATTAAGGACTTTGTGTTGTTACTGTCAGTTTGTTAAGTTTAAAGATACTGTATTAATACATGATTCTATGCTTGGATACTCCTGGTACTTAGAAAGGAAACTATTTAGTTCACCCATTATTATTTTAGCTCTGCTGTACTAAGGAGACAATAAGTTTCTTTCAACTTCCTCAATCAAGCAGAATATGCATACCCTGTATGAAAATTTTCTACCACACCTGAGGGCAGGAAACATCTTATTACTTTGTTTTTCTAAAGCAAATTAAATCTTTCGGTCTTCATCCTTTACTATTAAGAAAATTTCATTTTGTCTTTCTCCCAAATAAGTTTCTCATTCAACTGTAATCTGTATATTCAGTTGAAGTGTGCAGAGTTATGCTAATTGAATATAAAACCTTCACAGCAAATGTGGTCAACTCTGCCTATTATTAGGGAATCCTACTGCTCTTCTATCCTTCAATCTCTAGAATCCATCTCTCTTTGGGTAAGCCACTCTTCTGTTCTCAGAACTCTGGTCACCCTTTCCACCTTCTAAAGTTGGAAGAAGAAACCATGAATTAATATCTCATTTGGATATCCACTGTAAAATATCACTTTGCCCCGTATAACCCTGTAAAATAACTCAGCAAAACCTGACAGGACACTCTAACAAATCTCCCTCAGCCTCTCAACA